AAAGTATATATTCATTTTTATCCTGAAAGAAACATAAGATTTCTGGAATAGAGGAAGACCATTATTATTTTCAGTGATAACTCTGTCAGTTCCCCATGCCCCATTTTACCCATTCAGGGCAATTCGGTGAGGGCTAATGTCATCCTGTGCTTGTAAAAGGAATTTCTTGCATCACAGGAGAGGAACCCCAAAATTATGAATTCAAGAGTTTTTATAGGACGGCCATCCAGCTTCACCCTCCCCACCTGAGAGAGGAAGAAAAACCTAATCTCTCTCATGTACGTACATCCTGTGGAATCTAAAGGAATGGCTCTAGGCTCCATCTCCTATTGGAATGTAAACACTTACCTCTGGGGAGATAACTCTTCTCTGAAGTCTCTCCCTTTCAGTCATACTTTTAACTTCCAGAGCTTGTCCTTTAACTCAGCTTCCATTTTTCTTTGCTCAGAAAACCCTAACCATGCAGAAGCATGAAACTGTTTATATCGATTCTTGACCACCATCCCCCTTCTTTATAGTTTGGCTTCTGGCAGATATTTTACATATATAGTATATGCCATCCCATCAGTCATTCTAAATAATCTGATTGACGGGCTAGGACCCAATCTGTTCAGTTTGTTTTATACAGCATTTACCAAAGGCTGAGGTCAAAAGGACAAGGCCAATCTGCAAATCTGCAGTATTGATCTCAGCTGTGCCCCCTCCCACCCCCACCCCAGCCCCGACAGGAGTCCTGGATTTACCCATTAACCATCAGGATCTACCTTGGAAAGCTAGGTGACTTTCTCCTTAGATTTCCGTATTGATCTTTCCAACTTGGCCCAAGGCATTAATCAAGGTACAACAGGATATATTAATAATTTGCACAGACTTTGCCTTGGCCTGCAAGCAGGAAGTCTGGCAAATCGTTATTCATTACAACTCCGGCCAATGAGTTGAGGCTACCTGATCTACTGGGGGCATTTTCCTAAACACCTGAATGTTTTTATAACTATCCGTACATGCAAGTCAGTGTTTTTGTAGTTAATTTCTACCTTTCACACAAGGAACACGATTCTGAGGACACCTGTGGTACCCTTGGAAACAGTCGAAACTTGTTGGGGGCCCCTCCAAAAAGGACATGGATCAGTCAGGCAGTACAGATTGACAGGATTCCCCCATTGTGCTCCTGCCAGCTAATAAGACTTAGAGCCCCCAATTCAGTCCCAGTAATTTAGTTCAGTCCTTGTTTTCAGAGGAACTGCCACCGTCTAAGGGCAGTCAGTCTGTTCGGCTTGTCCAGTTTGTTCACCACAAGGTGTGAAGGACATTTGGAGTTATTCTGTATGTAAGGTGCAGGAGCCAGACCATCTGCTGCTCTCTCATGTTTCAGGTGGGGGAATGGTAGGCTCGGCAGGTAGTTTGCTTTCAAAGCTTCCAGCATTTGTGAGAGCAGCACCAGTGCATTTTCCTTTGGGAAGAGGGGAAGAAGGCTCCTGGAGCAGTTCTGAAAGGCAAAGATCCCTAATGCCTCCCACAAACTAAGGGTTCCCTCCTCAGGTGCCAGGGATCCTTCCCTAGGTGCTTGGGTTTTTTTGTTCTCTCTCCATTGTTACAGAATCAGTGTTCCATTTCAGTAACTATAACTTCACATTTTTTCCATTCTTCTCCTCTTGCTCAGAACTTTCCCCGAGTTGGGTCAGGAATAAGAAGAACAGAAGCATTTGTTTCAAGTTTAATTGGAATAAAGCAAGAATTTAATTTGTTGGGGTTCTCTTGGTTGTTTTGTGTCTTGACAGTGTGTTGACTTTTGCTTTTTTGTTTGCTTCATATTTGGTGGTGGTGGTACTGGTTGTTGAAAGTCTTACGTCTTGTGTAGGACAGTGGCAACTGAAGTAAATAGTTTTCGTTCCTGGAAATGTACAGCCTTTCTTTCTGCTAGGCCTTAGTGTGGTGCATTGAGTGAATCTAGTCAGTTGTTGAGTTGGGTTTGTGATTCGTTGTTGCTGTGGTGCAGTGGTTAAGCACCTGCCTGCTAATTGAAAGGTCGGTGGTTCGAACCTGCC